CATCCTATCAGGAGGCATAGGGTATTGACTTGTCCTGTTATTGACGATGTTAACATTGATCACTTAATTAAGGTAGTATCTGGCAGGATTCTTCACTGTGAAATTACTGTTTTTCCCTTTGTAATTGATAGATATCTTATAGGGAGCTGTGTTGAGATTAGATAATATATCGTTTTCTATCAAACTTTCAACCACTAGTTTTATTATGTTTTGATGATACTTGCCTGAAATAATTATTACCAGGGTGGTTGCCAAAGGGTGATTTTCTAATTTCTTTACTACATTTATTATTTGGAATTATATTCTAACAAAGAGCTTTTCTTTCTCTACTACTTATTTATGTCACTAAGGACTGGTGTATTTTAATTTTATTCTATGGATTGTAATCTACTATTCTTGTTTCTTTTGTTGCTCAGATATTCCTCATGTGACCAGTGGGAGTCTCTTCAAGCTGCCTCCTGTGTCCTTTAGACATTCTCCCATCATTCTTAGAGCATTTCCTTATTTTCTGGCACCCCTAAAATACATTCTAGTCCCTAGCCTGGGGATCAGCCATCTCTTCAAGGAACCCTGGTTCCTTTTATTGGAGCACTAGCTATTGGAGTGTCATTGCATCTAGGTCCCTTCTGCAGACAGAGCTAAGGAATATACCTGTGTATATATATTTACACACACATATCTATTTCTGCATCTCTCTATATTAAAGAACTGAGCTTATATGGTTAACTCTAATTCCAAGCCTTTCCTCTTTTCATATTTGTAACTTCTTTTTATGAGAATAAGTGACCAAACTGTCATTATCCATAATATATTTACTTATTTGCTCAATCCTAGTATATACATAAAGAAGCTTTATATTTTTGTATAAAAACAAATATCTAAGTAGAGCATAATATTTATATATTTATGTTGTCTTTAGGTCAAGGAGAGTCTGTAATTAAAGTGTTGTTTTTCAAGAGTTACTTAGGGTTAATCCTTTTCCTCCAGCCCTCTTCAGTGTGTTTATGTTACTCATTTCAAATACGGTTAGGTACATTTGTTCGTGATTCATTTTGGGTTCTTTTCTCCTATTATTATTTTTTCTTCCTTCTTCCTCGAAACATGGTTTTAAAAGAACTGTACAAAAGTATAGGATAGATTGTTAGAGTATTGAGACATAAAACTTATGGCTTTTAATTGTGTTTGATTTTTTAGGAAATCATTTACTATGTCACAGTAGAACAAATATGTGAAACTTCCTGCCAATTTGTGAACAACTTGCTCAGAAGTTCTTCGATGCCATGTTCTGTGGCTTGCATCAAAAAAGGAGTTTGTCTTCATGAAGATTCCTAACATTGGTAATGTGATGAATAAATTTGAGATCCTTGGGGTTGTAGGTGAAGGTAAGTTTAACATTCCTTGAGTTTTTGAGCAATGTCCAATTATATCTACCACCAAAAAAGTTAGTAATTCAGGTCCTGTTAATTTAATCTATGTAAATTCTGGCATGTGCCTAAGAGTAAACTATTAAAAATAAAATTACTCTTAAACTATTGAGTCTTATTCTCCAATTAAAAGTTAATAACATTTTAAATCCATTAAAGTTGAATAAATCAGGGATTTCTTAAGGCTGCTTTCATTTCATTCTTTTCATGAGGAATCATGCTTTCTTTAGTCTACAGTGGTTTGGTTCCATTTTATTTTTATATCAGCTAGGCTTATTTTGAATAACTTGAGGTTTATTTGCGTACGTTTTATTTAATACATGGTACATAAAATGAATAAATAACTTCTATTTGTCTTTGAGAATGACAAACCATATTTTATAAAATCTGAGGCGCACAACTTGGTCATATTTTAACATCTTTGAAATCAAGATGTGTGTTATAATCAGTAGCATGTCATGGTTTAATTGGCAGCAATTTTCCTAGTAGTACTTAAAATCATGTTCATAATCAATGACATTGATTTAATGAAATATGGTAATTCATCTTTCATAAGTCATCGTCATTTTTCTTAGTAATTTTTGCTCTTGACTAAAGGTAACTTTATGGACATTTTGATAAATGGCTCTGCTAATGGGATAAATGATTATAATTATAGCATTTATGTCTTTAAAGCAAAAGTTACAAACATTTCTTATTTCAGAATTTTCAAATAAGTTTTGAATTTCAAAGGAAGTTTTAAAAATTTACCATTGTGAACAGCAAAGCTGTTTTAGATTTTGATATTACATTGTTCAATCCTTTTCAAATAAATAGAAACAATTAAAATACAGTCTAATCATTGGGTGTTTGCTTCAAGGTCTGAAATCGAAACCATATAGAAAGAACAAATCTTTTTTCCTTCACCAGTCAGCTCCTTTTTTCTTCATTGATATTAATTATGTAAATAAAATTTATCCTTAATATTTTATCTACTATCTGTTTTATAATAGTTGCCTTATTTTTTTATTTGTCTTCGCCCCCCCCCCCCCAAAAAAAATTACAATTAGAGACTTATGCAATAAAGCTGCTGACTGGAGGAGGTCAGCTCATAGGGTAATAACAGGGTTAGAATATTCCAGATTTTGGGCCTAAGTTTTTCTGGATCATAACCTTGTTTTTCTTAGTATACCCATAAGTGATCATCTTCTCAGGGATTGGCTCAGATTAACTAAAACTACCAGACTGTTATAAATAAATCGGAATATGTTAGTTTAAGTTATAGTCAGAACCATCATTGTTATGCTTTTTTTTTTTTTTTGGTAAACTATCTCAGATGCTTTTTGGCTAAGAAATACATACATGTTAAGGAAATTGAAAACTGTCAAGCAAACTCTATATTCTGGTAGCCTGGAGAATGCATTTTCACCCCCTAGAAAAACTGGCATGGGCAGTTACGTAAGGATTGCGTGATTGCCTGGTGATTGTGGAGCTAAGTTGGATGGCTGTAATGGCTGGTCCCTTCCTAACTATGATAAGATTCATCCATCTCCACCAAAGTTGGGGAGACTTGTCTGGTTCCCTAGACGCTATTGGAGACCTATTTCCCAATTTCATGTCCCCGAAGTCCCCTTCTGATGGATGCATGCAGGCTTTGCTTGTCTGTTAAGTGTACTTGACATTTCTACAGACTTCGGTTATCATACATTACCTTCTGATTCTCCTAATTAGATTTTTTACAACGTAATTTTAACTTCAGTTTCCTGGGCACTTTGCTGTCAACTCTGTGTTCTGCCTCTAAGGAAGTAGTTTATCACCCGGATAGTAGGATAAGTAACCCAAAAGGTATGATGCATCTCATCAAAATATACCAAGGATAGTAGGAGTGCTTAGCTATATATAAATGGACAGCTTGGACAGCTCGTGGCCTGTGCCCTTAGGAACTGAGTCTTTATGGCAAAAAATGTAGCAACTCTACTAATTATTAACTGGAATGCTGAGGCCTGTACTATTTTGCCAGTCAGAAAAGACATTCCAGTGTCCCCAAAGAGGATTTAACTGTCTCCTAGGACAGAGAACATATTTGGTAGGCTTCATGCTTGAGCTTACTATTGGGAAATCATTAGCTCTTAAGTTTTACGTTCCCTAGAATCTTTTGAATTAATTTTCATTTACTTTTTTTTTTTCCCTCTGTGGTAGCTCTTATGTGCAGATCCCATGCTCAGACATGCTCGTGTGCATTTTGGGTGTTTTCTGTTGAGTTTTAGATGTTCAGCTTTATTGCATTTCCAAGGGGAGAGATCTGGGGACGTCTCTCACTCCGCCATATTTCTGACGTCCTCATTTACTCTAAAGTTCTTATGTCCAGAAAATTTTAAGCTTAAATTTAAAAATATCTCAAGTGAAATTTTCTGTAAAAAGAAATATTTAAAAATACGTGTTGAGGAAACGGGTTGCTTATACTCTTGCTCTGTTTGTATGTGGCCCATCGCATTATCATGGCCAAATAGTGTCATTTTAGGAATTATTATTGTAATGTATACTGATAACCAATGTTAATATAATAGAACTTCAATTTCTACAAGAGCTATAGTTTGTATACCTGCTCCTAACTGTTTACTTCTTTTTTATTGTAGGAGCCTATGGAGTTGTACTTAAATGCAGACACAAGGCAAGTACATGGTTTTTAAAAAGAAGAAAATAATTTTATATGTTTAACTGTTTTGGAATTAATGTAGTATGTGGGGGCATATTATTAAAATTGTCTGGCTATGATGATGATGTTTAATAAGTAGATTTAATATGTGAACCTAGAGAAAGGAGGCTACTTTTGGACATCAAGCTTTAGCATGATTAGGTAGGTAGTCATTAGTTCTTTGCAATTATGTGCTATTTTTTCAGCAGACCCATTTATAGGTGAAAAGCTGCCTAATGAGAAGAGAAAAGGTGATAGAGAAGAAATCAAGGTAGTGATGTATTTAATTTATGTTTGGGTACTTATGAGCAATAAAGAATTTCAGTCAGTCAGTATTTTTCATGAAGACCCAATAATTTAGATTGCTTGGTGGATCTGAATCCATATTTTGAAGGATATAGTGGATAAGTGTTTGGTTATGAAATAGGGCTTGAAATAATAGTGTATGATTATGATTATTGACTATAGTTGATCACTCTTGAACAACCTTGATATGAATCTTATGTAGATTATTTGACTGTGATAATAACCACCATTTATTCAGGTAAGTTATTTCACATTTCCATAGCTGTTGCTCAGTGGTGAGCATGTTTTACTCAATAATTTAATATTATTTTATATTAGTTTCAGGTATACAGCATAGTGGTTAGACATTTATATAATGTACAAAGTGATCCCCCTGATAAGTACCCACCTGGCACTGTAGTTACTACAATATTATTGACTACATTCCTTATGCTGTACTTCACAAATCTCTTCTTTAATTCAGGGGATTTTCTATTCTTGAAATTGAGTATTCATATTATTTTATGTTAGTAATAGTTATGTGAAGATCTCTGCCAATAAATCCTCAAAAAAATGGTTTGAATACTATTGTTTCTTGATTCAAGATGATTAAGAATTTATAATAATAAATATAATAAAAATAAATTTAGTATCTTGAATACCTCATTAAGAAATGTTACTGCAGTTTGAAATTAAGCAAATGGGAAGTTCCTTAATGAAATGCTATACTTTTAATGAGTTGCCTTGAGTTACAGTAAATTTCTGAAGCTTAAAAGAATGAAATTCCTGGGCGGATATTACTCAGGGGAAATAGATTGTTAGTGTCCAAGTTAAATTTGACTCTTTTATAAACATCATACCTCTTTTTGTACTATGGCTCTGTTTATACAACATAGCAAATGGAAGCTTCGGTTCTTAATCCTTGAGTTTTAGAACCCAAGGATTTCTGATACATAATGCAAATCTTCCAACAGTATTTTCTCTGTCTTTGTCACACTTCTTCTGGTGACCTTTTCCCCCTGCTTTTTTGACATTATCTAAACTCTCCTGCCTCATATGTAAAAAAAAGTTTCTTAGTTGAATATTTGATTTTATCTTTCCATATATTTGGTTTACTCTTTTATTAAAAGATAACTGAGGTCTGGTTTGCACTGTACACGTTAATGCTGTAAATGAGATTGCATCTAAAAAACATCTCTTTTTACTGCCCTTCACTAAATGAGAGACTCACAGACCAGCTCTCTCAGTATTGTTGCTTTTTCCTTTCATGCATCTAAAAAGATATTGCCGGATGGAAAATTTAAAGCATAAATTAGTACCTAACTCAAAGTAATAAAAATTCATTTTAGAACCTGCAGCTGTTTAGTCGTTAGACTTGTTGTAGTATATCCTTTTTTTCAGCCAGCATCAGACCTTCACATCTTTACCCCATTACCCCAAAATAGAGAATTTGATGCTTGTGGTAAGATTGACGCTTCAGGATCAAATAAATGGATTACCATGAAATCTTATGTTGTAGTTCAAAATGGATATAATCCTTTCTATGTACCCATTATATGTAAAATAATCACGCCCATGTATTTTGCATCTTTTAAAAATTTAATGCTTATAAAAATGGTTGAATTCTTTAAAAATGTATGATCACTTATGCATGGGTCTGTATGATCACTTATACATAAATTTGATCTCTGAGAGGGTCGGCTATAGGTGTATGTATAATCAAATAATTCCTAGAATATTGAATATTTGAGCAAATATGAAAGAAAGTTACCGTTTTACTATGTGTACTGTTACAAGAAATTTAGAAGTCACCTTTATAAAAAGATGCATCTTGTTTTATCGTGAACACAGTGCAGTGTTGTTTTATTCCAGGCCATAGACCATTCTTCTTAATTTACGAAAATAAATGAAAATTCATTTTAAAAATTAAAAAAGAACGTAACGGTACTCTCTTTGACAACTTCTGTTTATTGTTATATTTACACATTGGCATGTATATGAAAACTCTTAGCAATGACTTTAGCTATTGATGGCGCTTTATGACTGCTCACATTTGGAAGAAGTTCTGGCTTGGGCCTTTACCCTGCACATGTACATTGCTGACTTTTTTTTATTGGCAGGTCTACTTTGAATTGCTTATGAGGGGTAGGCATGCTTTACCACACACTTTTTCTTTGCAGAGGCTTAAAGAGGTCATCATTACAAAGTAGGGAGAATGGAATGGAGTTAAATAGGGAGATGAGATTAGAACTTGAGATAAGAGAGGTTATGCAGCCAAGTAGAGAGAGGTTGTGGGGTGGTACTTGTGAGCCTCAGACAAGGAAGTCCCGGTTCATGTAGCTCCTTTCCCATGGCTGGGATTGATCTGTGAGAAGTTTCTGTTTGTTTTGAAGTAATAGCTGACATATGCTCTTGAGATAGACCTAGTTATACAAAGCCATGAACAACCCAGTATTGGGGTGCAGCCTCTAAGTATTCAATAAATAATAAAGTCGTCTTAAATTACAGAACCACAGATGAGGGACACTGTAGAGAGCTGTTGCAGTGTAGTGGGTCCCTTAGAGGATTAAAGATGATCCCTGGGATTTGTGGCAAATGAGAAAAGTGTTTGGTATCATTTATCTGATCGAAAACTTATAAAAGGTGTATAGGTTTGGAGGGAGAAGTAATGAATTTGGCTTTCATTATAAAGAATAAAATGTTATCAGAATACCAAATCTGATATTAATACCACATATTGAGCATCTATTATATGCTAGGCACTCTACTGGATGTTCTACATTTTATCCCCACCACATCCCCACTCTTATTTCCATTTTTCAGATGGGAAAACTGAGTCACAGAGAGGTTATGCAACAGGGCCAAAATTATGCAGCTGATGATGTGGTTCGAACTAGGCTTTGATCTAACTCTGGAAATAGCGAACTTGAGCATGAGATGGAACTGTGAAATGATGTGAACTCTCCAAGAGGGAGTGCAGAGCAGAGCGAAGGGCTTATTTAAAATGGTCAGACTGAAAGGAAAAGGGAGGCCCACCCCTCGAAAACAAGGAAGAAAGATTTTTAAAAGTGGTATTCACCAACAGTGTAAAAACCCATTTTATTTAACAGCGCTATTTATTAATGCCCCCTTTAAGTGAAACAGTACATTAACACCAAATTGCAAGAGATTAAAGAGAGAGAGTAGATAGAGAAAATCTGGATTGTGCCATTTTTCTCTTTTGAAATTTGGGAGATTGAGATTACGATTAGGAGTAGTAGGAAGAGCAGATCTGAAATATTCGCTAGTGAGGTATACCCATATTTCCCCCTATTAAAAGGCATTCTTTGGCTGTTTGCTATTACTTAATATTCACAATTTGTCTTTTGCTATAAAGCTTTGTTTTTAGCAAGCATCACACATTTTGAATTAGCGATTCCTTTTTTCTTCAGATTAATTTTGTTTTTCCACCAAAAAATCTGAATGACAATTTGGTTACTTCTTTTCAAAAACTGAACTATTTTAAGAAAATACTTGACGAAAAGTCAATGAGCGAATCATCGCCAATTTAACAGATTATTTATAGTCTTCCATCTCAGACCACATAGTTATTTTCTACTAAAACAAAATTAACTTTCACTTTTTCACGTTTTTTTCCCCCACATTAAATAAAACAAATGTTTTTCTTTAATTTTTAGTTTTAGGTTTTACACATGAATTGAGTTTTTAAAACAAAGCTTAAAGATGAGTCAATAACGAGAAACTGAATATATGGGATTAATTATATTATTTATTTTATCATTACTTTCATCCTTATTTAAATAAAAATAACATGTGGTTTTTTGCTTCTTGTATGCAAAATTTCCAGCATCTGAAGAAAATTAAAGAGAGGCTTTGGGCTTTTCATAAAGATTGTCAAAAGCCAGGAATATTTCAATATTGATTATTTCATCATAATCATTTTTTAAGCAATTACTCTGTCCCAAATGACATTAATGTACTGTAGATTATAGAGATCAATGAGACATCAAAGTGAAACTGGACTCCAGGTCTGAAACAAAGATAGTAGGAACCATTCATGGAGGAAACCTCTCTCTCCTCTTACAGAGGCACTCACATAAAACCGTTGCTTCTATGTCATTTCTTCTCTTGACCCAGTTTTTGTTGCTGATCCAGTTAGTTGTAGAACAGTCTCTGGAACACTACAGATGTCTCACCAAAATGATACTTCTTTGTTTTATAATATTTTGTATTTCCAATTCTGCTAGTCTGTCGATATAGGAAAAATGACCTGCGTTTCTGTTGTCTTATTATCAATAAGAAATAATGGCTCATGTGTCAATTTCCAGGTGAATCTGACTTATTTAGAAGAATTTGGGACTTTTGCAGGCTTCCTGGTTGCCTTTATCCTATTCTGGATTTGTTTGTTTGTTTGTTTGTAAATGAGATAAGGGAGTGGTCATATTAGAACTACCCAGTACTAGCTCTGCATACATTGTCTACACAGAAGACTTTACCTCATTCATTTTTCTTACGGTGACTCATTTCTCAGTTCCTAAATGATCATATCCCCCTCACTCTATCCCCTCACCCGTTGCCCACTACCCAGTCTAGAGGATGAGTTGGCTGGGAGTACTAGATGGACTTTAATGTCCCCTTTTCTGCTAATCATAAAAATATAATTAGTCGAAGAAGATAATGTTCTTTCTATA